CAGATTTTTCTTTAGTGTCAGGGTAAAATTCAAAATTTTTTCTGTAAATCACGAAAAAATCTAGAGATGATTGCAGATAATCGTTAATACAATCAAAATCCTAGAAAAGATTTTTAACTTAAAAGCCCACCGCAGTGACTCAGGTAAAAAAAATAATAAAACTCCTTAAAAGTAATATTTCTTTATAATTATTTGATTTATATGCACTATGTTTAATTTATGCCTAAAGAAAAAAAAGGGGATTCATTAAGAAAATGTTACTCGACTTTTTCGAGTAAGTTTTTTTTTCCCTTGAATTCATAAAATCGAAACTTTAATGCAACGGAATTTAAATTATAATAAAGTAAAACTGGATCGCAGAGATCACTTGCACATTTATGCCTAGAACAGTATCTTGCATGATAAAATAGCTGCTTTTTCCATTGAACGTTAAAGTCGTGCTTAGAATATTATTATATTATTGCATTTAACATGATTCTTGTTTCCTTTATGAAAAAGTGTTATACACTCTTATCCGAGAACCATCACTTAAAGGTCGACTTTTAATTAAAAGACAACACTCCCGATTAATGTGACTGTAAGAGCCCTTCGGGAAATCGTCTATTCGTATTTCGATTTTCCTTTACGTATTCGACTTCTTTGGGAAATATTTGAAAAGTTTTTCTTTTATTTGACTTCTACTTGTGATATATTATTTTACTCGAAAAATATTACTATTATCGAGAAAAAATCATGTATTAATATCGAAAATTAGTTAAATATATTCAAAAATATTTTTAAATAAATAAATAATTTTATTATTTATTAATTAATTTATTTGATAATTTCTATAATTTTCTTTCTTTAACAAACGTCTTTATAAAAAAAATAAATGGAAAATTTCTTAGTTTTCAAAAGATAATTTATTATTATATAATTTATTAAATTGATCAAGTTTTAAGTATGATTTGTTTATTTATTTTTGTCACAGAACTTTTTTTCTGTACACACACACAACTAAAGAGAAACTCTTAAAAAGAGTCTTTAATAAATAACATCCCTTTTCATTCTTTAATGACCGTCATTTTTCGCTTCTTTACTAAAATATTATGTGTTTTTTCCCCCTAATTCATATGCTCATAAATAATCGTTTATTTTCTGAATAAATAAAAATAGAATGAACGAAGTTAAAATAGACTAATATAAAAAATTATTGGTTATCAACTTAATAAATTTGGTATTAAAGAAAAAAAATTATTTACAATAAATATAATATTTATATATGAATGACGATCACACTATATTTTTATATATCTCTCAAAAATTTTTACACGTGCTTTTTATAAGGGATCAATACATATAGCACAGAAAATATAAAGCTTTTTCTTACGTCAACGCATAAAGATTATGTCAATCTATATACTACTCCTTTAATCGTGAATGAGTCCTTAAAAAATGGTTATAAATTTTATATCCTTTTAATGTAACGCGAATCACTTTTTTATTAAGTATTCTAGAATTCGAAATGTAACGAAATAAATAATTCGATATTGGTTAACCAATCTACTGTAAATATATTAAGTTTTCGACTTTTATTATTAAACAAAGAAATAGCCACGAGGTTTATAAATAAACAAACGTTTATAACGATTATCAAATTTTTACCCCAAACGCATTTTATTTTTATCCATCACCCCTCTATACTTCTATCAATTATTACCCTCTACCCGCAATTAAATTATAATATCAATTCATTTCTATTATAGAAGAATTTTGGAATGTCCAAAAATTGAATTAAAAGTGAAAAAAAATTAAATTTTAATAAATTTGAATATAGACTAATCTCAGGGTAAATGGGAGTTTAAAAAAAGTTAAATTTACTAAAGTTTTAACACTGCCTGCTTGAGGAACGGAGTTTAAAACTCCTTGTCCCTTAGAGTCAGAAAGGTGTTTGATAAGAGTTGCTTAAATTGAGTTTAGTTTAAGTTATTTTTCTTCCTTATTTTTACATGATATACAAAAAGTCGTTTTAAATTTTTCGACGAAACTTTTTTGTATATTCTGGAAAATAAATTACTACAGTATAATAAACTGTAAAATTGGGTTAGGAGAATTTAAAAAACATTAAGTGAGAAAATTTCTTTTTATCAAATAACACATTCGAAAAGAAATTCTCTTTTCAATTAAAAAAATTTTGGGATTAATTTTTTCCAATGAAAAATTTAAATCAAAATCAAATCTATTTGAAATACTTATAAAAATTGTCATTTTTTGTAAGTTAGAAAAATTTTTAATTATACTTGAAGAAAATTTTTTTACTTTTCGCAAACTTCGGATAAATTTGTTTTTTAAAACTTAAAAATCTTTCTGTATTATTTCTCAGAGTCTTTAAACGTAAAAATATTTTCAACTTGTATAAAAGATAACAAATATAAAATAAATTTTACTTCTTAACAAAAATCCACATAGTTTGTAATTTTTAACAAATTGTATTATTTCCAGAATATCAATTTTATTAAATTCAAAGTATATTTTACTAATTTTTAATAAAATTGACTAAAATTAAAAATTTACCTCTGGAAATAACGATTTTTAATATCAAAATATTTACGCTATTTTCAATGTTAAATTTTTTTCAGACTTCGCACTCGATAATTAATTTTAAAAAAGGAGCAAAAAGTAACTTTCAAACTAAAAAAAAGTAGCTATCGAAAAATTAAACTTCTTTCTTATTTTGCAAATAAATTGAATTCCTGCAACGAAGTTTATTATTCATGAAATAATTTAAATACTTATAAAAATAATTTAATTCTTGAGAAAAATTTTTAAATAATTGAATTTCTGAGAAATTTTTATTATTTATGAAAAGAATTGAATTCTTACAAAGATTTTTACAAAAAATTTTTAAAATAATTGAATTCTGTTTGGAAATTATATGAAAATAGTAGATATTGAAAATCATTAAATTGCAAAAAGTATTTAAAAATAATTAAATTTTACAAATAATTCTATTAAAATTTTTGAGAATAATTGAATGTCTGTGTGGTATTTTATTAAATGTTTTTGAAAATAATTGAATTCCAAGAAAAGCATTTTATTATTTATGAAAATAATTGAATTCTTGCGAACAATTTTATTAGAATTTTTAAAATAATTGGATTTACAAGAAGAAATTTATTACTTTTAAAAATAACTTCACGCGGCTATTCTTGTGATGAATATTGTTGTTTATGAAAATAATTGAATTTTGCAAAGAATTTTATTAAAATGCTTCAAAATAATTGAATTTTCGGGAATAATTTTGTTTTTTATCTTTAATAATTGAATTCTTTCAAAAAACTATTCATGTAAATAATTGAATTCTTGGGAATAATTTTATTAAAATCGAAATTAATAATTGAATTATTTCAAAAAAAAAAATTAATTCCAATTGTATTTAAAATAATTAATTTTTTTCGAACAATTTTATTAAAATTTTCAAAAATAATTCAATTCCTGAGAAGAATTTTATTATTTATGAAAATAATTGAATAATTGCGAAAAATTTTATTAAAATATTTTTAAAAAATTGAATTTCTGTGAAAAATTTTGTTATTTTTCAAAAATAATTGTATTTTTCATAAGAATTTTATAAACATTGTTTTAAATAATTAATTTTTTCGAAATATAATAAATATTATGGAAATTTTATTTTAAATAATCGAATTCTTCTGGAAAACTTTATTTGTGAAAATAATTGAATTTTTCGTTAATTTTAAATAGTATTGAAAATAATTGAAATTCTTCGATAAATTTTATTATTTATGAAGATAATTGAATTCTTGCTTAAAATTTTATCAAAAATTTTTTTTAAGAAATTGAATTTCCATGAAAAATATTATTAGTGAAAATAATTGAATTATTGTTAAGAATTGTATAAAAACTTTGTTAAATAATTGATTTTTTCCAAATTTTTTTGAAAATCCCATTCTAAATTAATTGAATTCCTGTGGAAATTTTATTATTTATGAAGATAATTGAATTTTGGATGAATTTTATTAATTATTTTTAAATAATTGAATTGTTTTGCGAAATTTTATGAAAATACAATTTCGAATATTTTTTGAATATAATTGAATCGTTGTAGTAGCATAACGTAAAAAAGTAGTAAATAGTAGATTTTAGTAGATGAGTGCAAAGCCTGTTTTTTTATATAAAAATGATTTAAATTTTCGAATGGGAAAAATGAATTAAAACATGTATTAATTTAATTTTTTTTTGGTCTTATTTAAGCTGCAACGCTTTTTAATACCTTTTAGTTTACTGGGAGTGCTAATTAGAAAATTAAAAGCTAAAAGTAAACGGAAGTTTTTGGTAAAAAGAAGAAGGAACTAAGAACTTTAGGTGGCCGATTGAAGCTTACTTTTTGAGAACACCAGTAAAAATATTATTCATGTCAAGCTTTTAAAAAAAAATATTTTGCGATAATTTTTAATTAACAATTATTGTAAAATATTTGTTTTTAAACGTTTCAATTAAAATCGTTTAAAAAAAATAAATTAACTGCTTTTTCGAAAAATTGAAAAAGAACTAAAGAAATCCTTTTTAATTAAAAAAGGGAATGAAATATGTTTAGAACAACTTTATCAAAAAACATTTTTTTATACAAAATTTTCATCTCGTTTTTTTAAAAAATTTTAAATAAAATTATAAGAAATAATTAAAAATGACTTGTCTTCTTTTGTACATTTTTTAATTGAATAAATTTAAAAGAACCGCGTTTTATTAAGAAAAGTTCTTCCACCTTTTTTTTGAATGTTTATTGACAATTGCGGATGTGGGTATACCATGTAATTGAAAAAAAAGGTTTTTGTTTGTCCATATCATGAAAACGTGTTAATCGAAATAGAAAAAAATAGGAAAAAAAAGAAGAAATATATACGCTTGCGCTGAATATTGCGCGTGCTTCAAAAGACAGCCACCTGTGCAACCACCCTCTACAAACTCAAACCCCCGTTAAATCCTCACCTCACGTCTCCCTTCATATATATATGAAGCGACGTTAGCCGATGCCGCACTTTGCATCATTACCACGCTAGTAACTTGAACGCTTCTTCCGGTGCAATATTCCAGCAATATCGTCTAATTAATTCAACATTTTCTACCCAAAAAAAAAGATTCACCGACTTTTATCACCTGGTGAGTTCATTTCTCCCATATTTTTAAAAAAGTATATAATTAAATTTAATTCCAATAATTAAAAAAGTTTCTTCGCAATTTTCAAATCACAAAATTTTATATTTTTACATTTTAGGAACTATTTTTAAAATATTATTTCGTTAAAAACTTTTATCACCCAATAAGTTTATTTCTCCAATATTTAAAAAAAAAAATTTTAAAAACTATTAAATTTTATTTCAATAATTAAAAAAGTTTTTTTGCAATTTTCAAATCACAAAATTTTATATTTTAAATTATAGAAACTATTTTTAAAAAAATTATTTCGTTAAAAATTTTATCACCTTCTCCAAAATTTTTAGAAAGTAATCATAAACTTTTATTTTAACAATTTTTAAATCACAAAATTTTATGTTTGAAAATTTTAGAAACTATTTTTAAAATTGTTTCGTTACTAAAAAATGTAGAAAAGAGAATTATTGATTTAAATACGAATTTTCGTTTTCACGAAATATTTAACAAAGTTTTTCTACAGTTTAGAAACACGCGTCAAATAAACCGAACAAAAATTAAAACTCAAAAATTAAAATTACATCATTAATTTGATTTATTTCAAAAATCTAATTCCATTGTTGGAATAAAAGTGACATTCTTTTACTCTTTAATTTTGTGTGTGTGTGTGTGCAACAAAATAGAAAACAAATAAACCATTGCAATTATTAATATTATTTATTATTACAATTATTAATTATTAATTTAGAAAAAAGTTAATAATACAAAAATTCTTTTCTAAAAAGAAGTGATAACACGTGGAAAAATTCTAAGAAGCACAAAAAGAAGTTGATCAGCACAAACTTTTCTCCGCTTCTTTTACTTTGAATCCTTACGCGGAAAACAAATTGTTTGAAAAATTGTTTTAATTTAAAAAATTGCCCATTTCATTTCTTTTAAAAAAATATTTTTTTTTCCTCCAAGGCAATATTTTCTTTATTAAAATTTCAAAATATTTTATTTTAATTTTACTTTATAGTAAAATAGAAAATTTTTAAAATATACAAAAATTATTTTAACACAAAATTATATAATATTATTTTAATTTACGTGTGGGAGAATAATGAAATATAAAGTGAGGAATATTTCCATATATTACATATTTGTGTTTATTAAAGCATGTTTAGAGTAAAATGAGAGTAATTTTGATTATAATGAAAAATAAAATTTATTCTCTGTTATAAAATGTTATCAAACTGTAAACTATAATTACATTTTTTTTTTTGAAATCATATAATTGAACATTATTACACTCAATCGACCTTTATCTTTTATTCTAAAAAAAATTTTTCATTATTAAGGGCATTTGAACCTTGATGACGTCACACATGCTTTGCACAAAGTGTAACGTCATCAAGGTTTAAATGCCCTTAAATAAAATTTTTTTTTGTTATTATTAAATAAATATTTCAATTTTTCAATTAGTGACACTCTCAGTATTTCAATTGCAATACTCGGTAGAAGGGCCATTTTTTGAAATTATAAACTTTGACATATTTATTAAATTTCGCAAAATATTTTCATCTTTATTTATAAAAAAAAATTTAATTTCTGAACTTTTGTTACTTTTCGGATGAAATAAATATTATGAAAGTTCCATTTATTGTGATTTATTTTGTTCTTTGCCGCATCTAAAATTCGACACACAAAGCAAAATTGGGGTACTATTCTTCTACTGTATCAGCAAAAAATGAGTTTTGATGCGTGATATTGGAAACAAAAAAAAAAATTCTTTTTTATTGCAACTAATCATTTTTCTATATATATTTTATCCCGCACATTTCAAGACGTATTATGAGAAAAATGAAAAAAGATTCCTGAATTATTCATATGCGGATTGGGAACAAAATTTGATAAATTCCATAGTCATTTTTTTCCATATCATTACCTAAATATAAGAGCCTAAAGTTCTGAACGTTCAAATGAACGAAATTTATTTATTTCTTCAACAAATTAAATTTTTATTGCAATTATTTTGCGTCTCTAACCAAAAAATTAATTACTGAGTTTCTAAACGTAAAATTTCAGTTTGTAAATTTTTTTGTGATTAGTAATGCATAAAAATATCTTCAATAAAAAATATTTCGTTCATTTGAACGTTCAAAACTTGAGGATCATTAAATATATTCTTTTGTGAATAAATACCAATATATAAATAAATAATTAAATAATAATTTAAATTATCATGAACAATTTTTACAAGCTGGCAAATTTTTTTAAATCTTAGAACCACTTAGACGAAGTATAATTATTCGTGAATTATTTTTTGTATTATTTACGTAATAAATAAAATAAATTATTGATAATTGAAATAAATTGATAAATAATAAAAGCTACTGTGAATTATATTCGCTATTTATAAATTAATAATTGTATTATCTTATTTTTTTATAGTATTACAAATAATTATATTAATTACGTGATATTTGTAATACAATTTTTCTTTTTTACTTTTTAAAATATTTTTTTTTTTCTATAGATTATATAAAGATCATCATTTAGTAATATTTGTTAAATAATTAATGAAATACGATTTTACATAACGGAATTTATAGAAATGCATGTAACAACTTTTTGAAAAGTTTGACGTGCATATTGGAATATTTTTCGAATTATATTCAAAGTTTGTAATCGTAATGACATTGCGAGAACTACTAAGTCGGGGATTAATTGACGTAACGTAATTGAGCTTGTAGCCAGAAGGTGATTTACGTAAACTTCTCCCAAAAGGGCATATTCCCAAACAGCTTCGAGCTTTCCTATTTCACCTTTACTTCCCTTTACTCTCTGATTATTGAAATAATAAATTTTCAAAATCTCAACACTTAACGTACCGTCAAAAAATTATACAATTTTTCCCAAAAATATAATAAAAATTCCATTCTTTTTTTTTATCTTTTCTTTTATAAAAACAATTTTATTTGTGCGATTTAATAAAATTTTATTTGTTTAATATCATTAAATGCAAACAAAATGTTAATAACGATTCATAAAAAACATGCTTGCAAAATATTTCAGTAATTTAATTACTGAATTCTGTATTTTATATCACAAAACAATTAATTCTTCTTCACATTTCTATGTACATATAAATATACAAGTGGAAAATTAAATAACAATGAGCAATTAAAAATCATGAATTTCTCAAAAAGTTTAAGTGCACTTTTGAAAAATTAAATGAAACTTTTAATCGAATAATAAATAATATCCTCTCATGTAATGAAAATGAAAAAAATTTAAATAATTGTTTAACTACAATACAAGATTATTTCAATGTAGCATTTATAAAAAAAGATTACGATTAATATATTTTTTTAAAAAGTACTTTTAAAGTTGAACAAAAATTTTATTATATACATAGAAGATATTTTGTTCAACGATTTAGAAAATGATGTTTTTAGATAAAAACACTCGTTTCAAATTTCAAGTTCGCCTACAGCGAACAAAAGAAGCAACTACAGTTTTTATATCCATACATTTTCATGTCACTTTTTAAATAGAATAGAGTAAACATGTTCTGCGAAAAATATAATATTATATTAAAACTTACAGACAAAAATTTTAATCCGATTTTCTCTCGAAAGTTCTTTATAGTAAAGTTAATAACATTTTTGTAGAATTAATTTTCTTTTTCCAAAAAGTATTAGATTGATTAAATATGGATTACATGCGGTTTATTTTTTTATGTAAATGCAGAAAATTCAATTTATTAATACTTTAATACTATAGTATTAAATATTTATAATTTATTTTAGTATTTATAAAATACTACACTAGAAGAATTTTTTATTGTAGTTAATTTAATTAATTAAATTAAAAACTCGAAAAATTTTAATTACGAGTATTGCTTTTGAGGAAATAAAAGCGAATTTATGATATATACTATGTACCTGAAAGTGTAGAGTACATCCACCATGTAACAATTTATATTCTACAATTTCTACTGTTGAATAACGATGAGCACTGTATGCGGATGATCATACAAAAGTTTAAAGTATCAAACATTACATTTCGTGCTTTGAATCGAAATAAATATTTCCTTATCGAATGAAATTTTATAACCATTTTGCATATAATTCAAATTAGATATTTTCAACAAGGAAAGAATTCAGGTGCATCGGTGATAGTATTTTTGGTACAAATATTCAACTATTGATCAAGAGCAACATTGTTAAAGTATCAAAAAGCTACGAATTGACACCAAAAATATGGATCAAATCAAAAATTGATAGAAAGGTGTTATTATCGATAGGTAGAAAAGAAGAAGAGAACTTTTCTAAAAAAAAGTTTGGTCATCCAATTAATTACCGACCAAACCAGTCTATACTTTCCTGTTAACAAACCGAACTCACTAGATACACAAAAAGAATTACTTTCGGATTAATATTTACACGAAAGAAGTGACAATCTATAAGATTAATTTTTCCTAGTCACAGAATCAAAGTTTCCGGAAATGTTTTGTTAGACAATTCAATATCTAATTTGATAAAAGTAGATAAAGGGGAGATAAGAAGCTTTTTCGTGTCTATTTCTGGAAACAAGTTTCTATGCTTTTAAACACTTTCATTAGTAATATTTAAATTTGCTTAATTGTATTTTTAAATTTTATCAATGTGCATTAAATTCTTAAAAGGAAAACAAAACTATCTTTCTAAATCTCTAAATTAGTCAAATTTTTCTAAATCATTACTATAGAAGTAATTTATTTAAACTTTCATATTTTTTAAAATACAATTTCTCAACCACCAGACATTAAAATCTTTCCCTTCCGAGACATTACCCTCATTAATAATAAAATCTACTATACAGCGCGTGATGAGAATTTTGTATATTCGTTTACTGAAATAAAGTGACTAATTGACACTATCCCGGAAAAAAAAATTCCACAAAGGATCTACATATTCTTTCAAGACAAGTGATCGAAAATCAATTCTAAAGGGAATTCTCCCTTGAATATAAAACCAGTTCAA